GCTAGCGATTTTGTAAGTACAGCTATGTTTATTTTAATAGAAAAAAAATACATTTCATAAAAAATAAACAAACCTCTAATTCAATTACTATACACTAATTAATTAATTTTAAATGTATCTAAATAGGCACTTTAATAATGGAAAAATGGACATGAGCACTTCATAGAGTATACCAAATATGTAAAAAAAATCCAATAAAAAAACCACAAATGGCACATTAAAAGCTGCATTATCTGAAATCAAACTATACGTACCTAAACGGCCAATCAGTCAAACAACAGTCACAAGACGCCGACATCGATAACGCGATGAGCAGTTTTTAATAATTATTCCGAGTTAATACTTCAAGTAGCATTCCTTCAACTAAATTTTAACTTAAGTATTGTTAATACATATAGTCATATTAATGATTATAGTCTGTATGATTTCTAAAATAAAAAATCCAGCGTATTTTTATCAAAATAATTATTAAATGATGTATATAATAGTTAATATTTATTAACTTCGTAAGTGTTATTTTTTAATATAATTCATCAACATATATTATAATTATGGATCTTTTAATAATTAAATAATTATCTTAAGTTTAAATTGTGGTAAACTTGTTATTGAGTTTCAATCATTTATATTTAAAATCTTAGGGAAGGCAATATAGATTTTAGGCAGAAGAACTCAAGGGAAGGACTGTGTAATTAGTAATTAAAATTTTACATTTTTTTTTACTTGCCATTTTTCTTGTCTTTCACATTGCACGTTCACTCTTCGTTGTGTCACACACAATCTGAATTTCGGATATGATGCAGAACTGATAAATTAGACCAAATATATTAATTGCAAGGTATGCAAAGAAATATTTTTGTTAACTTTGCAAATACTTAAGGCATGCAATAATTTTTAAAAAATTTGACGTGAGATTACTTTTTTGGACATTGACTCATTACTCAATTGGACATACTGAATGTAAACTAGGAATACATAGTTGCTCCAGTCGATAATATATTCTGCTGCTTATTTTCCTCATAACAAAAAACCGTCAATACCGCTACTCACATTATGGACACCTTTCTATACTTAAATCTCTTAATGATGTTTAAAAATACATATGTAGGTACATACTATAAGTAGTGGTTGTCATGGTTTTTTTATTAGGTATGATGAAAAGTAGCTGCAAACTAAATTATCGTTGGAGCCAACTATATTTTAATTTATTTTTATTTACGGTAACTATGCACGGTAAGGGTTCAAAATATGCCTATACTGTGAGGCAACTCAATTCGAGTATAAATTAACACTTACATTCCAAGTATCTTCTTGGTCTACCGGCACCCCGTTCTTCCTTATTCCATCATTTCTATAAAAAATAGTATGATTTATAACTTTTAATTTTTATTGAAAAAATTGGTGAAATTTTGTTGTACGGCGAATTTAAATTTATGGGCCCTCCATAAATTTACACCGTAAGTTCGAATATTAGTTAGGAATACCCAGGTAATAGCCGGAAATATGCAAAAGAAGGGGTGAGTTTAGGTTAGATTAGAATTAGGTTTTAGCTGGTTTTGCATTAATAAAAATATAAACCTAATCTAAACTTAACCGAAACAGACCCACTTTTTGGTATATTTTGGGCTCCTACGTGGGCTCTACGTTTAACCAATATTCGGGCTTTTACGGTAACATAATACGCATTCTGATTGGTTTAATCTGGCTCCATAACAAACTGTGGGTTCGAAGTGCTATTGCAAATTAATGCAATTAATTCTATGTATACACTTTCATAAAAAGCCATCACGATAAAAATTAAATATCAAAATTATTTAACGTTGCGAACGGTTCACTTGTTCACTATACATATCTGGAATATATTTGCGAATGGCGATCAGCGATAAGATGATGCGTCCAAACCTGGGGAGACGAGCGCGAGACATTCCAAATTCGCTGTGTGGACGAGTCTCGCGAGAGCGTCGCGAGTCAACCCACGGAGCCTCCTTGCTATCCGTCCCCTGTCGGTTTTCCAACGGCCGAGAGATCAAAGAAAGCTCGAAAGTCTGGACGTGTTTTTGGTAGGCCCGCCCAACTGCGAGATATTAGCTCTGATTTATAAATTTCGACCATTTAAAATTAAGTAATCTCAAATTTTTAAATCGTGCACCGTATGTATTATCATTTTTTCTGATAGAATTTACAAATTTTATGTCACTGATAATTTTTACCCTACCGAAATCCAACATTTCTTTAAACAAATTGAATTATTACAACATCTATTAATTTTAGATATATAATATCAAAAAATGGCAAGAAAAGTTACCGAATTGTATGTATGTATAACCCAATAATAAAATAAAAAATAGGGTATTCCCATTAGAAAATATGTTATATCCGCAACACTTTTTTGAATTACCCTGTATACTCTATAGTAATGTTAAAATGTGCTTCTTAACCTTACCAATAACTTTTTTATTTAACATTTTGTTCTAAAAACGTTAAAAAAACGTATTATGTAAAAAACGTCGTGTAAGGGATAAAAGGGAAAACAGCCAAAAGAGGGAAAACCGACGATGAATACCATGTTAAAGACCGAATATCATATTAAAGATACAAACATTTATTACTATATGCGTTATTATTTGGCCATCGTTTGTTATATTCAATTGCAATTTAATATATGTTTGGCTTTCTTTCACTATAATGCCACTCGGCTTGTCTCGTGGCAGGTTGGCGTAAAAAATGAATAGAAAATGTCTCGCTCTCGTCTCGCTCTTGTCTCGCTCTTGTCTTGCTCTCGTCTCGCGCTCGGCTCGTCAGGTCTGGACGCACCATAGACTGTCGGAGTGGTGACGTCACGAATGTCAAATTGCTTTCCAAACAAGGTTTAGTTCTTTATATTTCTATTGAGCTCTTCCAAATGACGTCACAAAATAATATAAAATGTAAAAAAATAGGTGATTGCCGACAACCGCCGACTTGTATCTGGTATTTTCAATACGCCTATGATGGTTGCGCATGTTGCAAAATCTGTGAATTTTTTTTACTATTTTTAGGAGTACTATCACCCCCCGATTTTTTTACACCATTTCAATGACACCCTGTATTAATGCCTTTGTTTTGCTTCGTGATGTCATCAATAGTAGATTAGGGTTATACGTTGCAAATCCAATAGATGGCTTTATTACAGTACATTGTTTTATGGAATATGAATATATTTTTTTATATTGCCTTATTTGATTACATTTAACTTGTATACAGGGTGTTTTAAAAAACATGTGCCATCTCTCGTGGGGAGATTCCTCACGAAAAATAAAATTTATTTTTCATATCAACACAGGTCCGATTCTCCTTTGTTTCGTAGCTACAGGGTATTAAAGTCTTAATATTTTTTTGATTTATTATAATTTTCTTCCAAGTACTTTTAGCGTTTCGAATCAAATTTTGAGGGTAAAAGTTACTCTAAATGCGACATATTTTAAAGCTAAAAGAATGTCGACATATTCACCAGGGACGTGCATATGGGTTATCACTAGAATATTTTTCTAAAAAAAGCATGTACGCCACTGACTTCTTTCTCTTGTTAGCGAAATAGTGTAAGCAATATAATACCGATTAAAAGTTGTCTTTTTATATTTTGTCGATTTCGACCTTCTTGATGAATGAGATAAACCCAGTTTTATTAATTTGCCTTGATCCAAGTCTAATAGCAATCTTAAAATAAATTTACTGTCATTGACATTTTTTTTAAATTTTATATAAAGTACTCATTGATTCCTCATCAAAAAATATGAAAAAAAGTTCTTATAAACATGGGTATGGAAATGCATAGTTTTAGAGTTATAGGATGTTAAAACTTTTTAAAATTAGGTTTTTTTGTAATTATCTGAAATACCATTAGCTATTAAGATTGGAAAAGAAAAAGTTTTTTTTAATTTCACTCAAAATGAGTTATTTGGGTCATAAATGACCTAAATACAAAATATTTTCATGGTGTCTGTCTGTCCGTCTGTAACACGATAACTCAAAAACCGCTAAACCGATATTAACCAAATTTGGCACAAAAATACTGTGGCACCCGAGAATCTGGCCATTAGTTTTTGGTGGGGGTGGGGGGTTGGTAAGGGGGTATGGGAGGGGACTAAAAATTTTAAAAAATCGTAACTCCAAAATTACAGTAGCTAGCGAAACGAGGTTTTCAATTTAAGATTAGGAATAATATTTGCAACAAAATTTGTAATAACATCAAAATCAGTCAAAGTCGCAGTTTTTGAGATAAAAAAAATATGAAGTATGGGCGGCTATACGTGCCTCCCGGCGCCATTTTTTTTTATTTGAAATTGCTGTAGTTTATTTGTTACTGTTGACTAACAGTTATAATAACTAATAGTAATAATACTTGATAATAAATTAGGTAAAATATATAATTTATTAATTTTATTAATTTTGATTCAAGAGATAACTTTTAATTGACATTAAACGGCCACAAAATTTTGATATTAAAAGAAAAAAGTCAGTAGCGCACATGTTTTTTTTAATATTTCAGTGATAACCCATATGCACGTCCATGATGAATTCATCGACACTTTTTAGCATTAAAATATGTAGCACTTATAATAACTTTTACCCTCAAAATTTCAATCGAATTACTTCAAGGATACTTAGAAGAAAATTATAATAAATCGAAACGTTATTAAGACTTAAACACCCTGTAGCTACGAAACAAAGCAGAATAGGACCTATGTTGATATGAAAAATAAATCTTAGTTTTACGTGGGAAATCTCCCCACGAGAGATGGCACATGTTTTTTGAAACACCCTGTATTAAAAGCGAATCAATGTATAATCTGTCCGATATTGGTGTGTGTAATACTGGCGAATATTAAAATGACAGACACAACTGTCACTGTCAGAGGTTCACTCCCGTTGAAGAGACTGTATTTAGTACAATCTTTTATACATGTCTACTGTTAACTCCATAAAACAGATACTTATAGAACAAATTCTTTTTTACTCAGGCTGACGATGATGAAGAGGAAAATTACTTAACCACCCCTATAACGTCAGCGACTCCTGGTGGTACGCGACCGAAATATACCGACGACGTTTTGCCTCCCGCAAAAATACCACTGAACGAAGACGATTATGATTACGGGCCCGAGGATGACGAGGATGATGATGATGGAGCGGTGGAAAGCGAAACAGTGGTGCCGGATTTGAGGAAGAAGTCTACTACTGTGCCTGCTAGTGTTGAAGTGGAAAGTGCGCCAACGGAGCCGACTAAACCAAGTGCCAAACAAACTTTCGAATGTAAGTAGAGAAAAATTGTTTTTAAACATGGCTCGTTTATACATTTTAAACTGTATTTCGTTGTAAAAAGTAAAAAATGTTAAATAGGGAATGGTTTCTCCAAAAAAAATCCTTTATGGCCACTGCACTGCAAGAAAATCTACAAAATAAAATAATTATTTTTTGTAAACACTTCTGCGTTAAACCTAAACAGACACTGCTTGTCAGAAGTTATGTTTACAGTTTTACAAATTTGCCTAACAAAGAAAAAATGCTTAACGTTTCGGAAAGTTTATCTCTTTCAGTCGTCGGAAGCAAAAAAAAATACAAAGAATAAAGAAAAAAACTATTTATAATATTTAAATTCAACTATTCGATAAGACTTTACTTTTTTAAAACAGATACGTCTACAAGAAACCGTTAATGTTCTGTTAAAATGACATTATATCAAGTTAAACTTCAAAATTAACAATTACTACCTGATAACAATTACTTAATAAGGTAAAACCAAAAAGCCCCAAACTTTCTGTATGATTATTTTTAAATTTTACGTATGTTATGTTTATTTACGTTATGTTCTTTAAAATCAAAGAAGCGATTGCTATACATTATTAACATCTACAGATGCATGAGTAATACATTTATTTTTATTAAATTGAATTATAAAAGCCTCTTTTATTTTTCTTTTAGAGGCAATCGCTTCTTTCATTATAGTTTTGGCGTTATTAAAATTTATTCTGTGCCCTGTGTCCCATGAATGCTGACAAATCTTAGATTTGTGAAAATCTCCCTTTCTTAAATAATCTTTGAATCAGTGTCTACAATATTCAAAGAAGCATGCATTAATAGAAATGCACTGATTAAGAGAAAACTAAAAAGTCTGCAGTATTGTGTCAATAAGTTTCTAGAACTCATTTTTTTTCTTTCAGTCGTTACCGAAACCGAGCCTTCAAGCACTACCAGCACAACTACAAGCACTACGACCACAACTACATCAACTACAACAACAACAGAAGCTCCTACAACTTTCGAAATCGTCGAAGACACCGAACCCCCTATGTTTGTTACCGATGTTACAATACCTGCTATCGTAACTACACTTAACCAAACTCAAGACACCACTGCTCCAACCAGCACTATCACTGCATCTTCCACTACATCAACTACAACAACTTCCCCTTCCACAGCTTCTCAAGCGACTACTGTCGAAGAAGTTGTAACCAGTCAAGCCACAACACCTTCTGTTATCGATACAACCGTTCCTGATACAACAGTAAAATCAACAACAGTCAGACAAATTTCTAGCACTACAACTGAGTCGTTCGTGACCGAGCAAGTTGATCCTGTTAACAAGCATGTGCCGATTCCTCGAAATTACAGGCCTTACATAGAAAAGCGGCTTCAGTACAAGACGGTGATGGCTGGAAAAGTGTTCAGGTTTGTTATTCCCAAAGATACTTTCAAGGATGCGGAAGATGGGTACAATCTGACCCTGCAAGTGTTGGAAGAGCGTGAACAACCCTTGAGTGCCAATTCTTGGTTACAGTTTAATCCTCTGAGAAGAGAACTCTATGGCCTGTAAGTATAAGTAGTATAAATATGTTTATATCGGTGTAGTTTTATATTTTTATTCTTTAGTTTCATACAAGGTGTTTTAAAAAACATGTGCCATCTCTCGTGGGGAGATTCCTCTCGTAAAAATAAGATTAATTTTTCGTATTAACATAGATCCGATTCTGCTTTATTTCGTAGCTACAGGAGGTCAAAGTCTTCATCTTTTTTCGATTATTTTCTTCCAAGTGCTTTCACCCTGTATATTCACTTTGTTGTTTTGTTGAGTATTATTATTCTGAAAATTAACCGTTTTATTTTTTGTGGTTTTAGTCTCATTTGTACCTACAATAAGTTATTATATTTAAGTCTTTTTAAAAATATAGACTAAAGTCATAAAATCGAATCGAATCACATTATACCGATTTAAGTCATTACGAAAATGACTTGACTTGAAAGAAATCTTAAGTCTTCTAAACCTAGAATGTGAAAATTTTTAAAAATATATGCTTCCATTAAGAATATTTTCCTCTACTTACGTTCTCTAACCCAGTGTGAGTACATATTATCAAAGCAAACCTTTGAAGGAGGGTAAAAGGACAATAACTCACAATCTTCAAGTTGTTTAATTTAAAAAATTTTAATGCTTAAAAAAGCAAGGGGGGCGACATGTTTCGGGAATTTAAAATATTCCCATCTTCAGGCCCAAAGCTAAAAAACAATTACAGAGGTCAAATTTAAAATACAATCACAAACAAGTTAAAAAGTCAATTTTTTTTATACAAAGTCAAAAAATTATATATATATATCACCAAATTTGTTCAATCACAGATAACAATATGGTATATTAAATTTGAAAAATTAAAAACAACTAGACTAAAATCATAAGGTGAGGGGAGCCGTATAATCCACCATAATTAGATAAATTGAAAGATAAAACAAGGTAATAATCAAATCATACCTCAATGCATAATTCAAAGAAAAATACTTAAGCAATAGTTAAATTTATTTTTAGTGATATGTCTTTTTTATATATTTTTTGTATTAGTAATGTAAGTTGAGAGTAAATTACTTCAATCTGTATATGCTGATATCCAATTTTGTAGGATATTTTTTTTTTAGTTATGTTAGTTAAGAACCAGTTAAGAATTTTGTTTATTTTTTAATTAGTATATGTTGAATTTTAATTTACATTTCAAATTTATTTATTGTAGAAAATTAATATTTAATTTAGTTTAATTTTAAGAAATTTAATATTTATTTTAATTTATATAGGCAGAAAGTAGTCTTGACTGACTAGTGAGAAAGAAAATCTAGGATTTAGTGGGGTTGCAGTCGTATGGCATACTCAAAAAAGCGTACTCACACAACAGTCACTTAGGAAGTACAACCACTCAGAATCAATAAAACCAATTAGAGCCGTTAATATTTAAAACAACTCATTCATTGTAACTTTAAATTATATAACTCTTCAAGAAGGGAGCATTTCGTTGTAATTGTTTGTTAAATGTTAACGGCTCTAATTGGTTTTATTGATTCTGAGTGGTTGTACTTCCTAAGTGACTTTTGTGTGAGTAGGCTTTTATTTTAAAGAACAGAAGTTTAATTAAATTAAAATAAAAAATAATTCTTCTACATATATAAATTAAAATAAATATTGAATTTCTTAAAATTAAACTAAATTAAATATTAATTTTCTCCAATAAATAAATTTGAAATATAAATTAAAATTCAACATATACTAATTAAAAAATAAAAAATAAACAAAATTCTTAACTGGTTCTTAACTAACATAACTAAAAAAAAATTATCCTACAAAATTGGATATCAGCATAGACAGATTGAATATATAAATAAATAAATAAATGCCTTTATTGTCAAACAATTTTTCAATTTGTAGACAAAGGAAAACTAACAAAGTAGAAAAAAAACAAGGTACACAAACAAACAAACAAAAGATAATACAAAACATTATATAAATAATATTGTCAGTTTTATTGTTAAAATAAACATTTATAAATGTTTACAATGTCAAAGAACAAAAAATTTAAAATAATGTTCAAAAATATTTAGCCAGTTTATAGCAAAATATCAATGACCTCTAAATAAATTAATTTCGATGTCATTAGTAAATATAGCAATAGCAAACATTAGACCAGTGTTTTCAAGATCTAATTCGATTTTCAATTCAAATATAATTCATTTACGGCGTAGAAAGCCTCGTCTAGTAAATAAGAGTTCAATGCTTTGCGAAATGAAAAAAATGATGTTATGGATTTGATTTCAAATGGCAGGTGATTGTGCATTTTTTTCGAGTTGTATAATATTGAACTTTTAACTAACTCTGAGCGTGGGGTAGGTAGATAAAGATCTGGCTCCGCGTTCCTGAGTGGATAAGTGTGAGATGGCCTTTCTTGAGAAGCTGATACATGTTTACGTATTAGGCAAACGGATTCAAATATAAATAAGGAAGGAAGAGTCAATATTCTTAATTCTTTAAAAAAGTCCCGGCAATGAGTTCTGCTGTTTAGTCCTAGGGAATATCGAACAGCTCTCTTCTGGAGCTTGAAAATGCGGTCAAATTGAGTCGCACAACACGTACCCCAGAATGGAAGGGCATACCTGAGGTGCGACTTAAAAAGTGCATAATAAACAGTTCTAGCCACTGACAAGTTAAGCTCCTTAGAAACAGACCTTAATGCAAAACAGGCAGAGCTCAATTTTTTCGACAAAGCTTCGATATGTATGTCCCATTTCAGAGAATTGTCCATAACAAGCCCTAAGAATTTTACAGATTTTACGACGTCAATGGTGGTGTTGTTAAGTACAAAAGGCTGCAACGAGTTTTTATATGACAAAGCTTTAGTTTTAGAAATGTTGAGACTCAGGAGGTTCGAATCGCACCAAGATTTAATGGTGATTAAGTCATTTGATATAATCCTAAGCTCTTCAAGAACTACGGGCGAAAAAAAGAAACTGTGTAAGTTTACATTATCATTAGAGAGATAAGAAAGTGGACCATGAGGAGGACATATGGTATTAGTTAAGTTTTTCGCTACATTTACAAAGTAATCGTTAAGGTTCTCAGGTGAGGTAGAGATATTGCTAGACGAAGAAGCTTTGTTTCTCAATTTATTCACAATAGACCATGTTTCTTTAGCAACATTACCAGAATTGACTATTCTCCTATTATAATAAAGGTCCTTAGCGGCTCTTATAGTCTTATGATAAATTTTTCTGTATAGTTTTACGTAATTGTGGAAGAAGAGACTATCTGAGAATTTTTTTAAGTGAGATAATGAACGCATGTTTTTAGAAGATATGCGTAGACCTTTAGTGGTCCAAGGTTTATTATGCTTATTTTTTATAGGCCTAAGAGGAAAGGATTTGAACGCTAGACTGGTTAATGTTTTTACGAAAACAGAAAATTCGGCGTCGACATCATAAGAGCTAGTATCCCAGTTGGTTGTTTTACATAAGTGGCTGAACTTTTGAGCATTCCTTGAAAAATACGGCATAATTTACGAGGGGCATTTTTGATTTTGGACTTTATCGAAAATTCAGTTAAAACTGCTTCATGATCAGAGAGACCCGAGCTAAAGACGTTGCAGGCGATGGAGTTAGGATCAAAACATGACACAACATAGTCTATAGTACTAGAACTGGTATTGGATATTCTGGTAGGTGAGCCTACATGCATGGCTATTCCAAAAGAATCAAAAATGGACTGAAGAAAATCCTGAGCAGCACATACACTAAGAAAGTCAATATTAAGATCACCACACAAAATTAATTTGCTTTTTAAGGGCAGGGACTCAAGCAAGCTTAGTAGATTATGACAGAATAATTGCACGTCAGAGTCAGGTGTTCTATAAATACAAATAATGTAAAGGTCATAAGCATTATGGCAGACAATGGAAAATTCGAATACTTTTTCAGATAACAAATCATTGTACCTAGTTACCTCGGAAAAGTCGTTGTTTAAAGACATTATCATAGTACCTCCATGAGAAAAAATTGTTCTTTTAAATCTGGCTACTGTGGTATAATTTTTAACAAATACAGGCTCATTAAAATTCAATCAGTGCTCAGTTATGGCAATGATATCTGGAAATTCAAGTTCTTCTAGTAAAAGATATAATTCATCTGTTTTATGTCTTAAGGACTGAATATTAATAAGGAATAGACCAAGCTTGCTATCGCTTAATTTTTCAGAGGGTGCTTGATCCTCTGTTCGCGTCAATTCAACTAAAAATTTTTACTCTTATTTGGGGAGCCACTGGAATAATATTTGCCGTGACTTTCCCTAATCTTTTGAAGTCGTAGAAGAAGTAATTTACTCTCAACTTACATTACTAATACAAAAAATATATAAAAAAAGACATATCACTAAAAATAAATTTAACTATTGCTTAAGTATTTTTCTTTGAATTGTGCATTGAGGTATGATTTGATTATTATCTTGTTTTTTCTTTCAATTTATCTAATTATGGTGGATTATACGGCTCCCCTCACCTTATGATTTTAGTCTAGTTGTTTTTTAATTTTTCAAATTTAACATACCATATTGTTATCTGTGAAATTTTGTGATATATATAATTTTTTGACTTTGTATAAAAAAAATTTTTTGAATTTTTAACTTGTGTATTCTGTATTTTAAATTTGACCTGTGTAAGTGTTTTTTAGCTTTGGGCCTGAAGATAGGAATATTTTAAATTCCCGAAACATGTCGCACCCCTTGCTTTTTTAAGCATTAAAATTTTTTAAATTAAACAACTTAAAGATTGTGAGTTATTGTCCTTTTACCCTCCTTCAAAGGTTTGCTTTGAAAAATATATTTTTAAAAGATTTACTTGTTTTAAAAATATTTGCCTTTAATTAAGAATTCTCTTAATCTTCGTTATAGATACATATTTTTTCTTGATTTAAATATATTCTAATTTTCAAACAATAATAAAATAATTTTGTGTGAAAGCCTTTCGAAATTGACAGTTTTTGATATTTATTTGAGATTCGAAATGACATTCTTTTAGGCACTAGTATAGTCTGTCCAACGAGAAGATCCTTGACAGTGATAGATGTGTCTGTCATTTTAATTTCAAAGTAGTTTATATTATTTTACAAAGAAATAAGTTGGTACAACTGGAACGCATAGCAGGAAATTAATATATGTATTTAAAATTTGACTGACAAGTAACTTCAAAATATTGTGAAAAATACTGTATACAACTGAAAAAATGTAATCGAGTTATTTTATTTAATAAAAAACGGTATGTGTTAATACAAAACAAACAAAAACAAGACACCACATACAAAAAATTAAAAAAAAACTATTTCTTACTTTCAAGCTTTATGAAACTTCCCACATTTAGAATTATATTTATCAATATAACTTATGTACAAATACAAATATGTAATATTCCGCAGGAATAAATAAAACAACATAAATAAAACAAACTATTTTATTAATAATAACACTTACCAAATTTTATACCTCACAGGTTGATTAATTAAGTTCAATCTTAATTTTTTTAAACCAGTACCTTTTGACATTATTTTTCTGAAGTACTAAAATCCATTATTTACCTATCGTGTGATGTCGATATTTTACAGCTACTCCAGTTTTTAGTATGGTCCTTCTACCATATTCAAGATGCACTTATCTACGACGAGATGGTATACGAACTTTATTGATAGTAACTTTATTGGTGTATCTGTATAAGACTTTCTGCCTGGACAGCGAGTATTAACCATAAATTGTTCTGTGGGTTCTACAGTTAATTTTCACTCGATTTTTCCTCCAGTTGGCTTCAAAAGACACAAAACACACGTAATAACACGAATCAAAATGCATCATCTTCCAAAACGCAGGGTATTTGACAAAAGCTGTCACAAAATTATAACCTATAATTTGGCAAGACCGTGGGCAAGACTTTGACAAACGTCAAAAATCTAAAGGCGAGTTCATACGCATCGGCGTCCGTTTGTCGTTCATCGTTCCGTCAAACCAATAAAATTGAAAGACGAGCTGTCATTTTTGAAATAAACCAATAAAACTGGTTAAAAACAACAAGTGACGACGCATGACGAATTTATATTTAAACCCATCCATAGTTAACTTAAAAATTATTAGAAACTTATTTTAGTAAAATAAATAGATTGGTATGGGACCATGGTACAAAGAATACAAGGTATGATATTGCGCAGGTTGGTCGCTACGTCACAGGTGATAACAGGCGCTATTGGTCAGCACGCTCCGCGCGCCAGTTCAAATCGTCAAGATATTGTTATAAACCTGTTTTTTTTGTTTATATACCGTCATTGAATTATCGCTAAGCAAGTTACTGTGGAGCAGTGCATAAGGAGTCGGGCTAGGAAGCGAGAGACCGGAGTTCGAATCTCGGCCGGAACATCACTTTTAATTTTTTTAAATACTGTTGTATTCTATAGTTTATTTTTGTAGTATAAAAAAGAACTATTTATTCTGTTATTTTTAATCTCCGTTATTAATATAAATTGATTGTTAGTACAATACCTCATTTAATATAAAATAATATTCTACTACTTTTGAAATGTATCGGGCCCTAATTGTACCTAAAAGTAATATATTTTTAGTGATATACCATATTGTAAACTATTTAATATTTCAGTCACTTAAAAAGTTAATTTGCATTGAATAATTGCCTACCATTAAAGGAAATTTGAGCTATATAACCCTTGATGGGCATATTCTGGGTATGCAAATACTCCCTTTAAATTTTGGGTGTCGTTCAACTGATTTATTCTCAAAACCAGAAACATCTACATATAAAAAGAAGCACAGGTCACTAATTATAATAAACTTCACCCTTGGTATTACTTCCATTAATTATAATAAACTTCACCCTTGGTATTACTTCCACTAATTATAATAATAAACTTCACCCTTGGAATTACTTCTATCACAATTACAATACGTTCATCTGCATTGGCATTTTCTACTTTTCGATGGGAAACAATAAACTTCCCAACATTTTTTAAATGATGTAACAATTCCTCTTGTGGTTACTTTTCCATAGATATCCTCATCTCTGTCCTCATGTGAATTCAGAGGCAATAAAAATGAAAATTATTTACCATAAACATAGCAAACTAAAAACCTAATAGACAATTTTATACCGAATATAGAAATAAATTTAGTATTTTTACCTATTATCGTCCAAATCCATGTTAATAGATAATTATTATTTTTAAATATATTTTTGGAACTGCTTGTTTTAGTAATTATTAAATTAAACGAACTAAAAAGTCTTAAAAATAAACAATTCTTAACCATAACCCCAAAAATGCAGATCTCCTGTCAACTTTCTTTATTTTTTATTTATTCATTATTTTCCTAGTGACGTCACAGGTGGTATGCGCCGTATGCACGAACTGAACGAAATTGGAGCCGCTATCGATCATACCTTGTATTCTTTGTACCATGCAAGGGTACCATGGTATGGGACGTCATCTGCTTTTCTTCTGTCATCGTCTGTCGAAATCTTACCTGAGAAAAAAAACAAAGTATATCTAAAAGTGACACTTGTTTAGGCACTAGTGCTTAAAAGTAAAAAATGAAGCGTTAGAAACAATGAAAATATTTATTTATTATAAATCTTAAAGGTACAATTATGTAAATTATTAAAGTGAATAATAGAGGCATCCAACTTTTCGTCTCTAAGAGAAATGCAAGTTGTAGGAGTCGGAATAAGTAAATTTCTTGTACTGGCAATGCTGGTAGCTTCTGCTTCTACGTAAACTGCTTTTAATTTCTTATTTGGCGTATTTTTCTGTCCCATGATTATTTTTGCTATTTCGATTTTTTGTTCAATTGAATTTTCAGTGTAACCTTCAGCAACCGAGCTTGATCGCCAACCTCCATGTCGCTTTAAAACTGTTATGTCCGCTCCTGAATCTGCCAGCATTGTTGCAGAGCTGCGCCGGAAATAATGACCAGTGTATTCAATGGCGTTGGAGAGTCCAAGAAATTCCGCTGTCTTTTTTGGCATACCCCCAATTGTATTCATTCCGAGAAGCATTGATTTTTTCGATACGTCAAGAAAAATCGATGATGTGTCACATTGAGTGGTCAAACTTTTGCGTACTTACGAAATACATGTACGAAATCGATACCATCTATTGGTCCCCCAGTATCGTAAACACTCTCATACAAATGAGTTTTTGCATTCGGAATCTTCACACTAATAAATGACTGACAATCTTTAATGGCATCTACGGTTAAAAACGTGATTTCTTCCCTCCTACATGCTCCAAATACTCCAACGATTAAGACAACTTTAGCTAACAGGAATTCTTTGTCATCGGCTTCTTTCATAAAGCGTTCTATTTCCAGTTTTGTAAATATTTTTGATTTCTTTGCCTGGTATCCGGAAGCTTTTCTTTTTAAAAGTGCAATAAGGTTTATGAATGGTACACTTCTTTCTTGCAATAATACAACTTTATAAAAATAATCAATTGATTTATAATACCGTATGATCGAAAAAAAACGGCATCCAGTTGTCTGGGAAATGAACATCGATTTAAATTTACATATAAAATCACAGCGATCTTCATTTCATAGCCATCGCTGACGCCGTTTTTTTTCGATCATACGGTATTTCTTTCTAAACAAAGTACAATTCTCTTTCAGACCTTTAGCTGAAGATATTCACACCTGGGAGTACACAGTAAGGGCTACCGACAGAGAAGGCGAATACGAACAAGACCAGCTGACCATCCAGGTACAACAGCACCCTCTAGAGAGAGTATTCAATCACGAGTTCTCTCTAGCGTTGCGCATCGAAAAACCTCAAGAATACCAGCACTACATCGATTGGTCGCTGAAAGTGCTGAGGGCTTTGGGAAAAATCTATAGCACCAATATGTCGGAGATTACTGTAAGAAAAATCGATTTTGTTCGAGAACCTGTTGTGTTCACTTGGTCCAACGACTCGCTGTCTTCCAACTTCTGTCCAAGGACTGAAATAGAAACGCTGTTTAAGGTATGTAATCTGATTGTTGATTATACAGGGTGGTCCGAATTGTATTTGGAAAATTCCCGGAAACATATTCTGCAGATAAAAATAAGTAAAAAAGTTCGTGTAAATGCATACATATCCTAAATTGCTTCGTTTCGGAGATACAGGGTGTAGAAAATTCATTTTTTTTAGAATTTGTCTAAATAATTTCTGGTAAAAAATGTCTCATGATAAAAATCGCTACGAGTAACCGTTCTCAAGATATTTAGAATGGAAATAATCAATACATGTCATTATTGACAAAAAATAAACACGTTGAGTAGATAGTTATTTGACTGAAATAATAAAATTGGGTAATTTTTTTTTAAATTAATCATAAATTTTTCTGCGAAAAAATAATGATATAACAGTTTCTATAGAGCGTTTGGCAAAAAAAAACATTTCAAATTTATGATTTCAGTTTAATAACTAACTATTTATTCAATATGTTTAATTTATCAATGATGATAGGTATTGATAATTTCGATTCCAAATATCTCGAGAACCATTACTCGTAGTGATTTTTTCCAAGAGACCTTTTTTACGTAAAAAACGTAGTATGTAATATTTTTTTACTCAGTAGTTTTATACAGGTACGTACAAAAAGTTATTACTCTTCAAACCAGTTAAAAAATATGTAGGTGACGCCCTCTACAAGTAGGAGTCATATTGACACCAAAATCAAATTTCCCATGACACAAAACTCCCAGGCACCAATTTTCATTCAAATATTGATGTTACTTCAGAAATTATTTGGAAAAAATCGAAATAAAAATGAAACTTCTACACCCTGTATCTCCGAAAATAAGCATTTTAGGACATACATTTATACAAACTTTTTTGCTTATTTTTATCTGCAGAATATGCTGCCGAAGTTTCCTGAATATAGTTCAGACCACCCTGTAAATTTGTTACTTAAAAAAGGTATCTTGGTAAAAATCGCTACGACCAACCATTCTAAAGATATTTGGAATTGAAATTATTAATACATGTTATCATTGGCAAAAAAAAACATTTCGACTAGATAGTTATTTGTCTGAAATGATAAATTTTTCCAGAAAAAAATTTGATGAAACAGTTTCTGTTGAACTATTATTACAAAAACTTTTTCAAATTTATTCAGTCTAGAATTTTATTTTAGTTTTTTTATGAATTTTATATCTTAGCAATAATAATCAACTACTAAATATTAAGTAGAGTAAAACCATTTCTAAAACACAATTAAGAGTCGCTTATTAAAAATTCATTATTTTCCAGATGCTCACTGCAAACGACAGAGGCGACCCCTCCAGAGAACTGAGCGAGATGCTCAAGTCCGATTTAAGGGTAAAATTAGTCTCCTACAGGAACCTGAGCACTTGTATCGAACAACCACCACCGCCCCCTGTCACGGCCATCAATAACTTCTCCCCGGTATTGAGGAACCCCGTGGACGTGGTCAACGCCACTTTAGGCGAACTGCTCATCGTTAAAGTTAAAGACGTAAGTAATAGTAACACTTACTACTTCAGAAACGAAGTTAGTTTAATATATTTCTCATTCTTCCAGGATACCTTCTACGATCCAGAAGACGTAGACCCCTCCATGTTGAACATCACCCTCCAAACCGCCGATTTCCAACCGATTCCCGCCTCCAGCTGGTTACAGTTCGACAATAAGAACCGAGAATTTTTCGGGATTCCCCGCAAAACTGGTGTGACGCAGTACTGGCTGATGTGCGTCGACTCCGGCGGTAAGAGCGCCAAGGACAGCCTGGAAGTACACGTGCGACAGGCGGAGAAGATCCACTACAACGTGGAATTCAGCATGACCTTGGAAGTACCGTTCGAGACGTTCTCGAGTAATGCGGTGTTGCAGAAGAAATTCGTTGAAAAACTTATGGTGAGTATTTGTTCTTTAACCCACATATTTCTACTTGTTTCTATATAGTTTTTGTCTGTTAAGGTAAAAATGTGGATAGTTGAAAAGAGATGGGTGCATAAATATGACAACACTGCTGGTGTGCATTTCTGTATACCGTCGAAATATCAATTTGGGACTATAGTACGAGAGCTAGCAACGTCGGAAAAACAAGTATTTTAAGACGTCTGGCTCTTTGACACAAATTAACTATAACATATGCGAAAGAACACCGAATTCCGCGTTCAGGTTTCTGTGACCTTCAGAAAGAGTTCATAGACAATCCGCATCAATGTATAGTTTGGGTTATTATTTGTTTGGGTCAAAATAATCTGTACCAATATGTTATCGAGGCATATAATCTCACAGTAATTTAATAGATTACTCGTCATATTATATCAGTTCGTAGGAGATTAGGAAAAAAAAAGAGATATTTATAGTATAAAAAATTAATTTATTTAACAAAATTCAATTAAAGATGTGACAAAATAGTTACTTTTCTATTGGTTCTATCGGACTTTTTTCGACTATATAAATCTTTATTTGTAAACTTTAATGCATAAAATATTTTCAATCTAATAAATAATTTAATGATGTAAATAAGAGGAAATTTCTCACATGGTTGGTCAAATTCTATAGTTCTCATTATATCAAACAGCCTCTGAATGTTTTCTTTAGTGCAAAACTCATCAAAATTTAATATAAATAATTTTTCCAGCCTGAATTTTTTCATGATCAAAGGCTTTTAAATGAGTAAATAATTTCGAGTTATCCAGAGATTCGGATTCTTTTGCAAATTTTAGACAAATATCACATTGATGTATTTGAAGTGCCTTTTTAATGATGTAGTCAAACATAATTAAAGGCATTTTGAGTTGAAAACATTTCTCAGAGGCTGTTTGATGTAATGAAAACTATAGAATTTGACCACCCATGTGAGAAATTTCCTAAAATTTCTAAAATGTATTAAAGTTTACAAATAAAGATTTATATAGTCGAAAAAAGTCCGATAGAACCAATAGAAAGGTAACTATTTTGTCACATTGTTAATTAAATTTTGTTAAATAAATTAATTTTTTATACTATAAATATCTTATTTTTCCTTATAAATAAACACATTTGTATCCCATTTTAACTAAGATATATAAATTACCAAAACTTAGAAATAACAGTTCAAAAGTTCAACAAAAATCCTACACGCGTTTTTAAAAAGGAACATATAACCACGCACTATGTCACTCCAGCAAGCGAATACGACACAGCATGGATTTCCGGACTAAACGACTGGTGTATTTACACCACTCAATAGGCGTGTCGGGTTTGCCGAACGGTTTCCGATGCAGTCGCTTTCTTTCGCATCTGTTATAGGTAATTTGTGTCTTTGATATATCTTTTACTATGCTCTCTAGAACAGCATGCGGTCCGTCTGGCTGACGGTAAACGTTGCGTTCCCTACTGCGCATTGAAAGAAGATCCTATATTTTTATTAGTCCTTTAAATTCTAGTATTGAATATAAATCGAAGATGTCTCCATAGCGCAGTGCGTAGAGTTGTTCGAATCCGGGTCAGGGCAAAGACTTTTTTATTTTATTTTCGTTTATATTCTGATAGTAAAGTATTAAATAATTCTGGTGATTAAAAAAAACAAATATGCCCTGACCCGGATTCGAACTCTGAACCATCGGTTCGCGGTCGGAAACTCTACGCACTGCGCTATGGAGACATGCTCGATTTATATTCAATACTAGAATTTATAGAACTAAATTAATAAAAAATATAGGATCTTCTACCGATGCGCAGTAGTGAACGCAACGGGTATCGGCAGCCAGACGGGCCGCATGCAGTTCCAGAGAGCATAGCAAAAGATATATCAAAGAGCCAGACGTCTTTAAATACTTTCTCGAAAACGTTGCTAGCTCTTAGACTACTAGAATCAATCTTCTTTTTGCTAACTAAGCACTGACAAACCATCTTTAATATTTAAAAATACTTGGGCAGTTCTTTTGCAAAGAAAAACAGTAAAAATTGCTTGAAAATACACACACAAGACAGTTCACAAACACCCCGTAGCAACACTGTTAAATATAAGTTGAATGAATCTATCAAAAGGTCGGCGTCATTTTTACTATTCGTAGTAAACCATCGTAAAAATCGTAGAACAACGTGGTCACAGTTATTTTCCCAATAAATTTTAATTTAATTTAATTACAAAACTAAAAATAATTTTAAAAGTGCCTAAGGGTATTATCTATGTATTTTGACTAAAATGATATACCTACAACTATATACCTACAGCTCCTAGAACAAAAAAGTTGAGAATTTTGTTTAAATACAAACCTAGAGTATGTACGAGGATATATTTCAATAAAATATTTTAAGTTCTAGAGGGTGACTCAAAAAAGTGCGAGTGGATCGGGATGCTTTTTTTTAAATGGAACGCCCTGTATATTATTGCATTTTTGACTTTCTTTGAGATCACTTTACATATTTCTCAGACATAAGTAAATATATTTCGATAATTTCAGAGATATTAATAAATAACTAAAACATATATATATTTCCTTAAAAAAATTATTACAAATACAAGAATCTGTCCTGAAATAAAAACTATATTAGGTATTTACTTTTAGATGGTCTATACTTACTTTGCTGTAATTATCGTAATCTTAAATGATACAGGATGTTCAAAATTCTACACCAAACTTTCTAAAATATAAAATAATTTTTCTTTGTTTTTTTTTAATGTAACACCCTGTATATTATTGGGGTGTTAAAAAATGAAGATTTTTTGTATTTAAGCAGGCAGTATTAGTTCATATGGCTCTTTCAGCTAAAATACGAGAGTAAAATCATTGGGTGACTTTGCTAAAAATTTACTACTGTGAAAAATGCCATATGAAATATGGAACAGCGAATATCTGAGAAACCGTTAAACATTTTGAAATACTCTAAATACAAAAAATACTCATTTTTTAATTCTTCTTATATTGAAAAAATAATATACAAGGTGTTCCACTTAAAAAAAAACGAAGAAAAATGATTTTATATATTTTAGAAAGTTCGGCGTAAAATTTTGAATATCCTGTATGATTTACGATTATATATATTATTTATTATATTTATTTATAGCAAAGTACGTACAGACTATCTAGAGTAAATACCTAATATAGTTTTGATTTCAGGACAGGTTCTTTTCATTTTAATAATTTATTTCAGAAAGGCTGAAAAATATAGTCTATTTTTTATTTATTTATTAATATCTATGAAACTGTGTAAATATATTTACTCATATCTTAGGATTATGTAAAGTGGTATGAAAGGAAGCCAAAAATGCAATAATATACAGGTTGTCCCATTTAAAATAAATAATCCCGATCCACTCACACTTTTTTGAACCACTCTATAGAAGTTAAAATATTTTCCTGAAATACATCCCAGTATCATATATCGCTGTCATTTTATATGTAAAATTGTATGGGAAATGTCATCGATTCGTCATTTCATAGCCGTCGCTGACGCCGTTTTTATTCGATCATATGGTATATTTGCTATTTAATTATATTAAATATTAAAATAATATGTGTGATTTTACAAAATATTTTTTTTTCAAACGTCACAAAAGTATTAATTTTTGCCACGTGATTGACAGTTAAAAAAGTAATTTTAACGTCTAGGCTTAAAAGTAAAGCACTTTTGCGCCTAAGCATAAAAGTGCGAAAATACAGGGTGGCGTACCTCATTCGCCTCGGTTGATTATACGACAACGAAAAGATGTATAAACAAAATATTTTATGGGTATATGTGGGGAGTCAATGTGCACAATTTAAAATTATTTTGAAATATACAGGGTGTCTCAGAACTAAGATCCATACCAAAGTTATATTTTTTCTTATGGAACACCCGGTATTTTATTTAATTTTTGGATTCTTGGGACCAAAAAAAGACATTTATTATAATGGTTAAATGTGTTTAAAATCATTGGTTTTTGAGATATTTAAAGATATTTAAATATGCATGCTACAAGAGAATTGATTATCAACACCCTGTCGATTACTTTTCAGAATTAATTCTTGTGTTGAGTTTAAAGGTAAAGAAATAAACTTTACTGAAAAATGTTGTTGTTTCCTTAAATTTATACAGGGCTACCAAAAATTAGTGATCTATTTTAAAGATTTATTTTACATAAAAACTTTGTTATTTCAAATGCAACTCCCTGTATTTTTTTAAACAAATCGAAGCAGATTTAAATGCTCTTTCAAACTATGTTAGGGTTTCCTATATATCTATCTCCGATTTTCACAATCAAGATGGCTGATATCGCCCATGGCAATTTTTTAGTGACAGTAACTATTTTCAAAATCGACATTAGTTTATAGACTTTATTTAAATCTATACTACCAGTTTACTTTTATTTAATTGACCTACAATAGTTTAATAAATAATATTTATTAATATGTATTTATTATTCTATCAAGAAAAACGAAGAAGTAGTTCTTTGTTTTATTTTACGATGACTTGTAGATATATGAATTTTTTATAAAAGAGCCAATTACTGCAAATTCAATTTCTTCACTTCCAACGACAGGTTTCTGCCTAATAGGTTTTTTATAAACTACACTATCAATTCTGCGAAATAGGAGGATAAGTAGTTTTTCAAAGGAACGCTTATCAGGAAGATTCCTATTTGGATATCTTTGAGCATTAGCTCTTGAGGCCAAGAAATAATTTTCCTCACAAAACAAAATCACCAGTAACATATCCAGTCGTTCCACCAGCAGATATGGCTTTATTTTTCTTCATAAAATAAAGAATACTTACTTATTAAACTATTGTGGGTAAATTTTAGTAAACTGTTTAAAAATAATGTCCATACACTAATGTCCATTTTGAAAAAAGTTACTGTCACTAGAAAATTGCCATGGGCGATATCAGCCATCTTGATTGCCATTTTATTTAAAAATCGTTTTTTATTCAAAATCGGAGATAGATAGATATAGGAAACCCTCATATAGTTTGAAAGAGCATTCGAATCTCCTTCGATTTGTTTAAAAAAATACAGGGAGTTGCATTTGAAATAACAAAGTTTTTATGTAAAATAAATCCTTAAAATAAATCACTAATTTTTGGTAGCCCTGTATAAATTTATGGAAACAATAACATTTTTCAGTAAAGTTTATTTCTTTACCTTTAAACTCTACACAAGAAATAATTCTGAAAGTAATCTACAGGGTGTTGATAATCAATTCTCTTGTAGCATGCATATTTAAATATCTTTAAATATCTCAAAAACCAATGATTTTAAACGTATTTAACCATTATAATAAATGTCTTTTTTTGGGCCCAAGAATCCAAAAATGAAATAAAATACCGGGTGTTCCATAAGAAAAAATATAACTTTGGTATGGATCTTAGTTCTGAGACACCCTGTATATTTCAAAATAATTTTAAATTGTGCACATTGACTTCCCACATATACCCATAAAATATTTTGTTTCTACATCTTTCCGTTTTCGTATAATCAACCGAGGTGAATGGGGTGCGCCACCCTGTATATTATTTAACTGACATAAACTGTAAAATTCAACGAGCGTAATCATAATTTCTCGAATACCTATAATAATTACATACAAGGTATGACTTTTAAATCTTTTTATATTATTTGGAACGTTTGAAATTGTTTAAAATTTATTTGTGGCGTTTGAAAAAAATAGCATGTTCTATTCGGAGTAAAAATTACTTTTTGTGCCTCGGCTGTATGTCAAACGCCTCCACACAAAAAGTGTCATTTTTACTCCTAATAAAACAATATAAAACTTTGTAAAAGATATTTCAATTGTGATTTTCTTGGGTATAGGTTTTTTTATTAAAAATTAAATGATTTCTGGATGTTTTAATTTGTTTTGTATTTGCCGACGTTTCGATTTTTTAATATTATAAAAGATCTTTGACAAAGAAATGTTATAGTGTAATACCCGCCTAACACAATCCACGAAAAATTTTCATCGTCCATTTTTGTTGAAATTGCTGTTTGATCGTAATTAAACGTAAATAGTTTTGTCTCTGTTAAGTTAGATGTCTTTCTTTAGATCCTTATTTTCTTTGACTTTATACTAACATTAAACTGTTCCACCTTCTCCACAGGAAATCTTCGAAGAACCGTCTCCAAAGAACCTTCACTTCCTACCCTTCAAACAGAAAATCGAACGCAACACCATAGAATCCACCCTGGTCCACTGGTTCAACAAGTCCCTCCCCGTCGACAGATGCCCGATTGACGAGATCAACCGCTTGGAGTACATGTTACACAACAGCGAGTCCCGAAGCATATCCAGACGGGTCCACAGGATCATGGGTCCCGATTTTACCATATCTACCATCAAAGTGCACCATATAGGCAACTGTAAAGCCAAGCCTGTGGCGCCTACGCAGGAGGCTGGAGTGCCTACGGAGGAGACGGTGCCTCCGTCTGCGCAGAGCGACTATTTGATCACTTACATCATACCGGCTGTGATAATTTCCATTATGTTGTTTGTCGCATCTGTGGCGGCGTGTGTTCTGTACAGGAAGAGGAGGATGGGTAAAATGAACGTGGAGGAGGACGGTAGGCAAACTTATGGAAATAAAGGTAATTATATTTGAGTTTTTGGCATAAAAGAAGTTAATGCAGATGTCATTTACACTATACATTGATGAATATCAAGCTATAGAAAAATAAAATAAATACAAATAATAATATAATATAATACTATTTTATTATATACCATTTTATCACATACTAAACCAATGAATACAGAACAACAAACAAAAAATATAATATACCAAATACCATGTGAATGCGATAAATTTTACATTGGTGAAACATCTAGACCCTTAAATGTTCGAATTAAAGAACATAAAGATTATTTAAGAAAGGGAGATTTTCAGAAATCTAAGATTTGTCAGCATTCATGGGACACAGGGCACAGAATAAATTTTAATAACGCCAAAATTATAATGAAAGAAGCGATAGCCTCTAAAAGGAAAGTAAAAGAGGCTTTTTTAATACAATCTAATAAAAATAAATGTATTGCTCATGCATCTGTAGATGTTAGTAATGTATGGTAATCGCTTTTTTGATTTTAAAGAACATAAAACATAAATAAACATTACATATGTACGTAAAAATTAAAAATAATCTTACAGAAAGTTTGGGCTTTTTGGTTTTACCTTATTAAGTAATTGTTATCAGGTAGTAATCATGGTACAAAGAATACAAGGTATGATATTGCGCAGGTTAGTCGCTACGTCACAGGTGATAACAGGCGCTATTGGTCAGCACGCTCTGCGCGCCAGTTCAAATCGTCAAGATATTGTTATAAACCTGTTTTTTTTTTGTTTATATACCGTCATTGAATTATCGCTAAGCAAGTTCTGTGGAGCAGTGCATAAGGAGTCGGGCTAGGAAGCGAGAGACCGGAGTTCGAAACTCGGCCGGAACATCACTTTTTATTTATTTTTTTAAATACTGTTGTATTCTATAATTTATTTTTGTAGTATAAAAAAAAGAACTATTTATTCTGTTATTTTTTAATCTCCGTTATTAATATAAATTGATTGTTAGTACAATACCTCATTTAATATAAAATAATATTCTACTTTTTGAAATGTATCGGGCCCTAATTGTACCTAAAAGTAATATATTTTTAGTGATATACCATATTGTAAACTATTTAATATTTTAGTCACTTAAAAAGTTAATTTGCATTGAATAATTGCCTACCATTAAAGGAAATTTGAGCTATATAATCCTTGATGGGCATATTCTGGGTATGCAAATACTTCCTTTAAATTTTGGGTGTCGTTCAACCGATTTATTCTCAAAACCAGAAACTTCTACATATAAAAAGAAGCAGAGGTCACTAATTATAATAAACTTCACCCTTGGTATTACTTCCACTAATTATAATAAACTTCACCCTTAGAATTACTTCTATCACAATTACAATACGTTCATCTGCATTGGCATTTTCTACTTTTCGATGGGAAACAATAAACTTCCCAATATTTTTTAAATGATGTAACAATTCCTCTTGTGGTTACTTTTCCATAGATATCCTCAACTCTGTCCTCATGTGAATTCAGAGGCAATGAAAATGAAAATTATTTACCATAAACATCGCAAACTAAAAACCTAATAAACAATTTTATACCGAATATAGAAATAAATTCAGTATTCTTACCTATCGTCCAAATCCATGTTAATAGATAATTATTATTTTTAAATATATTTTTGGAACTGCTGGTTTTAGTAATTATTAAATTAAACGAACTAAAAAGTCTTAAAAATAAACAATTCTTAACCATAACCTCAAAAATGCAGATCTCCTGTCAACTTTCTTTATTTTTTATTTATTCATTATTTCCTAGTGACGTCACAGGTGGTATGCGCGAACTGAACGAAATTGGAGCCGCTATCGATCATACCTTGTATTCTTTGTACCATGGGTAGTAATAGTTAATTTTGAAGTTTAACTTGATATAATGTCATTTTAACAGAACGTCAACGGTTTTTGTAGACGTATCTGTTTTAAAAAACTAAAGTGTTCTCGAATAGTTGAATTTAAATATTTTAAATAGTTTTTTCTTTATTCTTTGTATTTTTTTGCTTCCGACGATGGAAAGAGATAAACTTTCCGAAACGTTAAGCATTTTTTGTTCGTTAGGCAAATGTGTATATCTTTAAACCTAACTTCTGACAAGTAGTTTCCGTTTGGGATTAACGCAGAAGTGTTTACATAAAATATCTATTTTATTTTGTAGATTTTCTTGCAGTGGCGAAAAACCCATATAGGATTTTTTTTGGAGATATCAACATGTTCAATTGAAACTAATAGTTTGTATTTGTTGTTAATGACATCTGCATAACTTTCTTATATTGTATAGCTGCATTATTTTAGTTGTGAAATGTTCAGAAATATATTATTTTAATATTTAAGGAACGAACGAAGCCCCTGTACATAATAATTGTAATTAGTTACAAAAAGATGATGAATTTTCCCGTGCATCTATCTCCACGACGATTCGTAGTGTATTTAGGTAATTTTATATCAAATTGAAAAGAAAACTCTACAGGCATACCTATACGTGTTTTTATTTCACCTACTTGATCTTGTTGGCTTTATTCTTTCTAATCAGTGCTTAACATACACTTTAAACATTTTTTCCACACTATTGCCTATAAACTGCGCATTAAATAATATACACTCACCGGCAAAAAAAAACCGGCCATTAAAAACTAGTCCCGATTTCAAAGTTGGATTTCTCGCGAACCACTGATTATATTTTGATGATTTTTTTTTAAACTGTAAATTAATTCTTTCTTAACGGATGCTACGTCAGCAATTTTTATTCCGAATTTATTTGAAGCATATAGAGGGCACAACAATAAGACGAAGTTTTTTTCAAATCAAATCACATTGTAGCCTCATCTTTTGTGAGCATTTTGTTTTTTTAATCACGACATTATCTCTGTTTGTATAGGAGATACGCTGCTTTAAAACAAACACCTCGAAAAAAAGCTTTATAGTCAAATCAAACATCAGAACGTAGCCGTAAACTAACTAAAACATGAAAAGTAAAAAAGGTAAAGAAATTTTAAGGGTGTAATATCTAGTATCCACTCACCTGGTGAAATTTTCCGTTTCCATATACCGATTCTAGGCATCCTGGACGCATATTCGTAATTCGCCGACACATTAGCCGCTCGGATTAGGTCGGGTACAGCGATGGACGGTTGCTAAAGTACCGACGTATTAGACTAGTCCCAACCCTTATACGTCGGTGATTTACGAAAACGAAATACTGTTGTCTACCTGTTAGAAAGTGTTTGCTACACACCCTCTGATTTTTTATTATAGACCACATTAAATCATCCCTTTTTATAGCTGCCATCCAAAGAGAACGACGTTTCTTGGACAATTAATTTTGTTCTGTTAAGAAGCGGTGATTTGTGGTCGTAGGGACACAATAAAAATATAAATTGTCTTTATTTGCTCGACTTCCGACACGTAATCGGCATGTAACAAAACGTCTTCAAATATTATGTTTCTCGCAGAATTTATATCCTGGCTATCAAAATTTACTATAAATGTGTTAACAACTAACTACTGAGCCACAATATGAACTGAAAAACACTATAAAATGTATTAAATATAACTTAGCTCTGGTTTGACTACCACAAGGACTAATGTAAATACAGCCATGTGTGCCCCCAGCGGCCATATTGGATCGATTTTGACAGGTCGTTGGAATGCCTAATTGCATTACAGTATAGGTTATGGTAAATCGAGGACTGTTAGAAAATTATACGAAACAGACTTGAACAGAATTTTTTTTTAATACTAAAATTAAACTTTACGGTGTAAGCAATATGATTTTCAAAAAAATTATGAAGCAATTATTAATTTGTCATTTTTAATATAAAATTCTAACTAAAATTTTGTTAACTTAAAAAAAAATAGTTTCTGTTAGATAAATATTAATGGCGAAATGATGGTGGATTACTCTGTTTATAGAAATTACTAAACAACTTAAGTTTAAGAAAAACATATTAGCAAAAAAATATATAATAGAAAAAAATTAAGACATATTTTTATTTTTTGGATTTATTCCCTTCATCTTAACCTTCTAATCCCATATTTTTTTAATTTTGTGTCTGGAAGAAATTGTTTGATAGTTACTAATGATTTTACTGAACAGTCTATATTTCGTGAAGTTCTTTTGCGGCTCGCTTCCCTATTTTTCTTTTGTTTGCCATCAAAATGGTAGTGATAAAACCTCCTAAATGCTTATTAGACGTAGTCTCAGAAAATGTTTTTGAAACTCTTTCAAAAATTTCTCTCCTAACATTTACCAAGGCAGTTATCCGTTCTATAATTAAATAAAAATAAACTAAAATTTACTCGCTAAGCAGTTTTAAGCTTCCATGCCGATAATAGAATGATTGGAGCCTTAATAAAGAGTAAGTTAAGTTTTAAGACTAATCGCAAGTACCGTATGATCGAAAAAAACAGCGGCTAGTTGGTTTGGTAACAACGATCATTGACATTCCTTATATAATTTTACATACAAAATGACAGCTATCTTTATTTCCATGCCAGCTCTGACGCAATTTTTTCAATCGTATGGTTTGGAAATGAAAGAGCATAAGACTTTTGCGTAGTATAAACAAAAGCTGTGCTATTACTATTTATTTTATATTAATGATATATTAATAGCATTACTGTTATTATTTAATATCTCTTCAAAAAGCAGCATCTACTATCTAAAATCTGTTTTTATCAGTAATCTGCAACCTCAGTTTACTGGAGACTATTTATTTATCAGGTACAGCTGGTAATGTCTTAAAATCCATGTTTTTAAATTATCAATCTGCTCGAAATGTGCTAATCACTGGAAAACAATGAAAACCAATACAGACGATTACTGATTGATCATAAAAAATTCCGAGTACTCATTACAGATGCAGATCAAATTAATCCGATTTACAAACTTGCGAAGAAAGTAACAATATTTTGAGCGCATCGTAAACCGCCGACGTATTAGACTAATACGTCGGCGATTTACGCAGCACCCGAACTATGCCGA